CGAAAAGTTGTTGGGGATAGGAAGACTGCACCGTATTGAGGGGAGGATGGATGGGGCCATGTATCGCGAGATCTTGGCCAACAACCTCCTTCCCGCAGTAAGAGCATTGAAGATGGGTCGTGGCTGGGTCTTCCAGCATGACAACGACCCGCAAAAACACAGCCAGGGCAACTAAGCAGTGGCTCAGTAAGAAGCATCTCAAGGTCCTGGAGTGGCCTAGTCAGTCTCCAGACCTGAACCCAATAGAAAATCTTTGGAGGGAGCTGAAAGTCCGTATTGCCCAGCGACAGCCCCGAAACCTGAAGGATCTGGAGAAGATCTGTATGGAGGAGTGGGCCAAAATCCCTGCTGCAGTGTGTGCAAACCTGGTCAAGAACTACAGGAAACGTCTTATCTCTGTAATTGCAAACAAAGGTTTCTGTACCAAATATTAAGTTCTGTTTTTCTAATGTATCAAATACTTATGTCATGCAATAAAATGCAAATTAATTACTTAAAAGAAATACAATGTGATTTTCTGGATTTTTGTTTTAGATTCCGTCTCTCACAGTTGAAGAGTACCTATGATAAAGATTACAGACCTCTACATGTTTTGTAAGTGGGAAAACCTGCAAAATTGGCAGTGTATCAAATACTTGTTCTCCCCACTGTATATTGTGTTGATGACAAAGTTAAAAGTAAAAACATTATCACCGTCAACCACCTAAATCTACCAGAGCTCTAAAACAGTCATAATGTGTCAATCTAAGTAATTTAGCATAATTACAACAGCTGTTGAAACATTTATCTATTTTTAGGGACCGAGCCAGTGTCAAACACTGTGAGGTCTCTATTGTATTTGCTGAAGTTATATTATTTGTGGGAAATGATCACTGCATTTTTGACCCCCTGAACATATACTTCAGATGTATTTTATTTAGCAAATTGGTCAGGCCTGGTGAAAAATTGGATATTCTATGCGTCACATTCGGCTCGGCCACTAGGTGGCGCTACTATTAAGAAAACTAGGTTTAGGCTAATAACTCCTGCATCGTTTGTCTCACATTCAAAAAACCTATATCCAAGCGTTCAGTGAATGGAGCTGCATCTCCCTATATAGGCCACGCCCCCTTTTGTCCAAAGACTACATTTGCGTGTTCCATCCATGCACTTTTGTCTGATTCGCATGAAACTTGTTACGTAGCATCTGCAGACCGTCCTGGCAAAAAAATAATTCAAAGTATTTTGATATTTCAAAAATAAGCATGTTATAAAATTAGCACTTTCTGTAGATTATGGTGAAAATAGGAAGTGGAGCATTTCTCCACATTGGTATGTCCAATTGACACCAAGCTTGAGTCCATAGTTCCACATGTCTTCCGTAGGCACAATTAGGTACAATTTCAGGTCATCGCCACAAGGTGGTGCTTTTTATAATGAAGAAGTTTATATCTCCACATTGGCATGTATGATTAAAATGAAACTTGGTATAATGCTTGCCAATGGCTCCCTGAGGCTTGCTAAAAAATGTGTCAACAATCCGCCCCTAGGTGGCGCTCTGGTAGCAGTGTAAATCTCACTGCGGAGAATGTAATAGTTATGAATATGAAATTCACACAGCACGTGTAGACTGGTGCCTGTAGCTCACATACCAAAAATCATGTTTGTGGTGTCTGTAGCGCCCCCTACAGTAATTCAACAAAGCAGCCCCGGCGCCACATTTCACCAATATGTATGAAACTCGGTAGGCACGTGCAACGTGCCGAGACCTACAGAAAGGCCTCTTGGACCCATGCCCCAAAACCCACAGGAAGTCGGCTATTTTGATTTTCATTTTTAGTCTCTGCGGCCATTTTGTTTGTCATTTTCACTTTTTCGCCTTGTATTTGAACGAATACAGGGAATTTATTGGATCCGCTTCAAAATTGGTCAGTACAGTCAAAACATGTTGCTGACTGAACACCGTGCTATTTGCGATTGTACGTTGAAGGGCTTGTACATGGCGTGCTGTCAAAGTTGGCCATTTTGAATCGGATGTCAAGCTGTGATGCCATTTCCGGCATTTCAGGGCTTCCATTGTAACTAACTCCTCCTACAGGTTTTATCGGCTCAATTTCAAATTTGGTCAGTACTGTCAAAAAATGTTGCTAACTGAACACTGTGCTATTTGTGACTGTACGTTGAAGGGCGTGTCTGTGGCGTGCAGCCAAAGTTGGCCATTTTGAATTCTGTGGTCATTTTCTGTGAATTTTTGCCTTGTATTTGAACGAACGCCTCATGGGGAACTTATCAGATCGGCTTCAAAATTGGACAGTACAATCAAAAAATGTTGCTGATTAAAAGTTGCGCAATTTGCGACTGTATGTTGAAGGGCGTGTCTGTGGAATGCCGTCAAAGTTGGCCAGCTTGAATCGAACGTCATTTCCGGCATTTCAGGACTTCTATTTTAACTAACTCCTCCTACAGATTTTATCGGATTGCCTTCAAATTCGATCACTGCAATCTAGACACATTGGTGATCAAGTTATCAAAATATTTACTGTGCGTCAAACGGCGTGTCCGTGGCATGGCGCTGAATTTCCAAGTTTCGCAGTGAAGAATCTCGCTATAAAAGTCTTTTGCATGGTGTCTGAAACGTGTGACAATGTAGAGTGGTCTCCCACAGCTTCTGGCGATGAAGGCTTGGGCGTGGGGTGACGTGGCGTGACACCCGGGTTGCGTGGAGTGCGAGGTCCCGCCCAATGCTGCTTGCAGCTTTAATTTATATTTATTATTGTTATTTATTATTTATAGTTCAGGAAAGAAAATAAATTGATTATTGATGGAGCGTGTTTTCATACATAAAACCAATTCAACATGCTTGACATAAAGCATGAGGTAAAATGATACAAATATTAAAGAAATTAAAAACATGGAAATGCATGCATGCCAGTGCTGGGTGGATAAACTCTAAATGCCTAAGAAAAAGTTAAAATCTATGGAGAATATTTAGGTACAAATAGCTAAAACTAATATAGTCTGAGCCTGCGATCACGTCATGATGCATTGTAACAAATAAGCTTCCAGCAAAACTATTGTTTCCTATGGTACAGTGCACCTGACGTGTGCTCCTCTTGTGGTGAGTTTCTTGTATACTACGTGATGTGCTTGCATTATTTGACTGAATTTGACTGGGAGGAGTATTTTTACAAATAGCTGCAGCTAACTAGCAACCTAAGCACCAAGTCTGTTAGGAGTGTGCATGTGTTACATATGTCTGTATGACAGCCTCTGACTGATCTCAGTTCTCAAACCCCTCTGCTTTTTCTCTCTCTGTAATAGTGGAGTCCTTTAGAATAAATGCCAGTTTTTCACTCAAGTCGGAAAAAATGCATGGATGTATTTTTGCCTCAGTCTGTGCCAACCAGAGAGGAATACCTGTCTCCTTGGTATCAGGCTTTTAGTCTGTCCCTGATTGAGTAATTACGTTACATCATTGGTCACTGAGTGATGTTGTGGGCCTCTATAAATGAGATGACACATGAGCTGTGAGTGTGCAGAGGTGTTTATGCTCCATGTCTATCTGTTGCTGTGTTCTCCAAAACGCCAGAGGCCCAACAAACAAAGCATTCTGTGAAGAAGCTAAAAAAAGAACACCACAGACCAAACATGGCTGTACACTGTATACAGGTGGCTAGGGTTGCTATGTAACGTAAACTAGCAGGGCGGCTGTGCCCCAGAGGTAGAGCAGGTTGTCCACTAATCGGAAGGTTGGCAGTTCGATCCCCGGCTCCTCTCGTTGCACTGCATGTCGAAGTGTCCTTGAGCAAGGCCCCAAATTGCTCCTGTTGGGTGCACACTGTGTGTAAATGTGTATGAATGTGTTTCTGCTCGATGGGCTTTGCCATGCGCATGTGGCATGTAGTGTAAAAGCAAATTTAATTTAATCATTTGGGACAAATGCGCCCATCAAAGTACGTCCACTAAAAGTCTTTCCACTCTTCCAATAATCCCCAACTCTGGTTTGGTGGAAATAAATCCTTAATCCACCGACATAGATGAGAAAAACAGCAGTTTAATAAGATAAGATAAGATAGTCCTTTATTTATCTCCCTTAGGAGAAATTCAGGATGACACAGCAGCAATAGGGCAAAAATAGTGCAAAAACAGAGAAAAAAATATAACTAATATTATTAATATTAGAAGATATAAAACTATAAATTAAAGTATATACACTATGCATTGTTCAAGTAGGATATGGAGTGCAAAATATAAGCAGAAAATTAAACTTGACTAAAACTAAAAAACTAAAACTACTTAACTACTAAAGTGGAAATTAAATATAAATAGTGCAAAAGGCTTGTGCGTTGTAGGTAGGAGTTTTAAACCAGTCTTTGTCTGCGGGGGTTGGAGGTACTGGGCGCTGTGGCGTTGTGGAGTCTGATGGTACAAACGAGCTTCCAAACCGCTTCGAGGCTCGGGGCTGGGTCAGTCTGTAGCTGAACGTGCTCATGAGCTGCCTGAGCTCAGTGTAGAGAGGATGAGAGGGGTTGTCCATGATGGCTTTCAGCTTCCCTCTCATCCTCTTTTCAGTCATAGCCTCCACACTGTCCAGCTCCATCCCAACCACCGAGCTGGCCTTCCTCACCAGCTTGCTAAGCTTGTTGTACACCCCCAGTGCCAATGCCTCCCCCAACAGACCACCGCAAAGAAGAGGACACTGGCTACTACAGACTGGTAGAACATCTGTAGTAGCCGAGTGCACACGTTGAATGACCTGAGCCTCCTCAGAAAGAACAGCCTGCTCTGTCCTTTCCTGTAGAGGGCCTCAGTGTGATCCGTCCAGTCCAGTTATTGTTGAGTGTCACCCCCAGGAACTTGTAGGTGTCCACCATCTCTACCTTCTCCCCCCTAATCTCAACAGGGGATCAGTTACTCTGTCCAGCTGCACACAGAGCAGACCAGCTAACAGACCGGTTAAGCTGAAATCTCAAAGACATTTAGACCAGAAGATGATTTCTTTGTTGTGTTTCTCTCCATAGCGTCCTCCCCATGAAGCAGGGCATTCTGCTGGGCCAGTATCTGGGCGCCTTCAACCTCATGGACACGTTTAAGGGGCACGCCAAAAAACAAGAGTGAATGAAGAACAGGAAAGTAAGAAGCAAAGGATGACTGAAATGGAGAGTCCTGAGAGTCGACATTAACATTTCATTTTAATCTTGATCTTCCTAGTGTATTGGTGTAATAATACAGAGAGTGGGGCAGTCGTGGCAAAGCTTGGATTCTCATATCAATGGTTCATACTTCAATACAAACACAGAATGGCCATTTTTATATAATCTATAATCCATATTACGTACATATGAACCTTGATATTTTTAAATGACATTATTAGTGAAATTTGAATGTGATGTTATACAATTTGTAATTTAAAAGAAAAATATGTGTTGCCACAGATTAACCGGCAATGGAAGGACTCCTGCTGATGGATTATGAAAATTTTGTTTCAAAGTTGGTGTCATGAATGTAAGCAATCAGAGATAAGGACACGTCTATACTTACTGAGCAAATTTGTCAAATTTTCTGATTGATTTTCAGATTTTTCGGAAATTCCTTAAATTCAGCGTGAATTCAATACATTGTAATAATATGTCTGTGCTTTGTGGTGTGTCCCACAGCAAACACGAATCTATCAACAGAAAGTCACAACCACCATGAACAGGATAATAGCATTATTTAGCAGGAGAGTCAAACCTTTTTGATGCGTAGGAATATCAAATGCAGAAAATCTATTATATAATGCATCAATACATAGCTAACAATATATGCTTACAAAAACTTTACATCTATACAAAGTAAAAATGGTGAGGTTTAGCTGTAAGTTCATACTGACGTAACGTAATATTCCCTTATAATTCCCTATGAACACTGTTGTGCATGTAGCCATTACTGTCATTTTGAGATTTTAAAGCACACTTTTTTAGAGTTTTTGTTTAGTCTGGCCCAGTGTTTCATGGCCAAGTGCTTATACTCAGGAACAGTGAACCCAACTAAAAGGGTGTCTTGGATATGTAAATTTGGTAGCCAGTGGTCCAGAACACTCAACGGCCTTGTGTGTTCAGACTGAAGAAAAATTTTCATGTGTTATTAGCGTATTACAGCAGAGTTTGAAAGCTTGATTTCTTGATGGACTTTACCCGTCTTTATTCACTAACAGCAAATTTGGCCACCATGGGTAGCCCATTATGTGTCTTTGAGTAAGATGGGTAGACTGTGAATGAGAGGTAAAACTGTAAAGTGTTTTGTGCATTCAGGTAGAAAAGCGCAATTTAAATGCAGTCCGTTTACAGTTTTAATTATTGTTAATATGTTAGCTGTAATTATCTATCACTGTACTAGCTAGCAGTGTACTAGCATGCTACAGCTAACTATTGTGTTTTTATAGACCTTTTTAGAGGCTTTGCTCCTTGTTTCAATATACTCATAAATTGGAGTAAGAATTTAAAAGAAATGCCTCGACATAAGCACAAAGCTTTTACGGTTGAGACTTTTTCAACTCGCGCAGATACCTATTCACCTGAGTGTGCTCCTCCAGACAGGTCACATTTGTATACACTACATAAACCATGCCTCCAAAATTTGCTTTGCATGTGGTCTGAACACACCTTTATATTTGGGCTGTGATCTTAAGTACACTTGAAAATAGAAGCATCCTTAGTTTCCTAAACTTCAGCTACATCCACTAACCTTTCCTAAAGTGTTATTCCTCTTGTCACTTCAGGTCATCTACTACTGCTAATTTGAATTTCAATAATGCCTGTTATTTGATTATGGTCTTCATCTAGTAACTTTAATTCTAATAATACACAGCACATTTTCAAACAAAGTTGCAAAGCTTTACATAGTAGGACGAGTAAAACATTTCAGGACTGCAATGAAATAAAATAAAATGGACAATTATATTTGCAGTAAATAAAATAGTGGGACCAACACTGTTAAAAACTTACTTAAAATCTGGCAGGCATCATACCTAAAGGACATGATGTAGGCTTTAGTTTGTTTATTTTGTTTTTTTAAAGTGCACAGTGAATGTGCCTTAAAATAACTGAGCATTATGGATTTCATTGATTTTGTTTCAGCTTCTTTTACTGCTTATTGACAACTGGACATTAGTTCTTTCAACAGTCTTTTTTCCATTACCATTTAGCTTGTCTGCATTTTCTCGTTATTGTTCTCGCTCTAGGTATCATTGTAACAGAAATGCCATAGGGAGATCGTATATGACAGGATACTTTTCACTAGTATGTTAACAGGCAGGCAGAAAGGTCCTAATTTCCTTGGATGAAAATAACCTGAAGTAATTCTTTTAATGTTTTTGTTGTTGTTGTTGTTGTTGTTTGAAGTAGCCATACATTTTTCAGTCAAAATATATACATTATGGTCCTATCATTACATTTATTAAGCACCTTTACTACTATGTAATACTTAGTCCGTAAAGGCCATATTATAAAGATTATAATGCATATATCTGGGTACATAATCTATTATGGGTCAAACTTTATTTTAATGTAACATTGTTCATGTTTTCTATGTAATTTGTAACTGATTGCCATCATAAGTGTATGTGGTGTCTGTATCAAATAGACTGCAGTATACACCTGTTGCCTTCATAATGCAAACTGTTAAATGACTCATAAAGAAGGCACTGGAAATGACAAAAAAGAATGTCAGGAATGTAGAGGTTGATTTAAGTATGTATCTAAAAGCACATTTTAGTACAGTTGTGGTCAAAAGTTTACATACACTTGTAAAGAACATAATGTCATGGCCGTCTTGAGTTTCCAATAATTTCTACAACTCTTATTTTTTTGATTGGAACACATACTTCTTTGTCACAAAAAACATTCATGAAGTTTGGTTCTTTTATGAATGTATTATGGGTCTACTGAAAATGTGACCAAATCTGCTTGGTCAAAAATATACATACAGCAAGGCTAATATTTGGTTACATGTCCCTTGGCCATTGTCACTTCAATCAGACACTTTTGGTAGCCATCCACAAGCTTCTGGCAAGCTTCTGGTTGAATCTTTGACCACTCCTCTTGACAGTTGAGGTGCAGTTCAGCTAATTTTTTTGGTTTTCTGACATGGACTTGTTTCTTCAGCATTGTCCACATGTTCTCGATGGGGTTTAAGTCAGGACTTTGGGAAGGCCATTCTAAAACCTTAATTCTAGCCTGATTTAGCCATTCCATTACCACTTTTGATGTGTGTTTGAGGTCATTGTCCTGTTGGAACACCCAACTGCGCCCATGACCCAACCTTCGGGCTGATGATTTTAGGTTATCCTGAAGAATTTGGAGGTAATCCTCCTTCATTATCCCATTTACTCTCTGTTAAGCACCAGTTCCATTGGCAGCAAAACAGGCCCAGAGCATAACACTACCACCACCATGCTTGACGGTAGGCATGGTGTTCTTGGGGATGTATATTTTTGACCCAGCAGATTTGGTCACATTTTCAGTAGACCCATAATAAATTCATAAAAGAACCAAACTTCACAAATGTTTTTTGTGACAAAGAAGTATGTGTTCCAATCACTCTATCACAGAAAAATAAGAGTCGTAGAAATTATTGGAAACTCAAGACGGCCATGACATTATGTTCTTTACAGGTGTATGTAAACTTTTGACCACAACTGTACATATATGTTTTCAGAGCTATCTCACACTGTTTCAATGTAAACTACGTGGAAGTGTAATTTTGAAAATTCTGATCAATACATTTTTCTGATTTCAAATGTTTTGTTTCTGTGTTTTGAGACTCTTGTTCAGCATTATGAGTTACTTCATATTTCCCACAAGACAAATTTATCCTTTTCAGAGTACACTGAAAAATCATCACATTATCTATCAGTGTTTAAGGCCTCAGAGTTGAATCCAGTGATTCATGGTTTTCAAAAGAGTAATATTAACAATTTACAATTTCATAGTGTTTTTTTAAAAAAAACTGTTAATGCTGCAAAAACTCTTTTGAAGTATGGACTACTGGTGCATTAAATGAAAAGATTCTGTTTTAAATGATCAGTGGTTGTCATTCAGATTCAGTTTTCCTTTGATTTTAGGTCATCTATACTGCTAGATCACAACAAAGGCAAAAGCCTTTGCCATGGGCTTGGAATGATTGAAATGACGATTTAAGTCAACCACTTTTAAAAAATCCCTTTTAAAGTATATTTAAAAAGCAGTCATACACTTTGGCTTAATGATATGTTTTTTTAAAGGTCCAGAGTATAGGATTTAGTAGATTGAAACCCACTTGCTTCCCACAAAGGCCTTTACAAGCGCAAAAAGAGAAACTAAGGTGGCAGTGAAAAGCACTAAAATGCAAAAGGCCTTATCTAGAGCCAAGTTTGTTCATTCTGTGTTACTGTAGAATAAGGGTTGATCAACATGGCATCCACAGATGGCGACCCATGGCAGCTGTAGTCAAATCTTATTTTCAAGTGATTATACACAAATGAAAACTGACAATAGATCCATCTAAATGTTCAATTTTATTTTTACATTACAGAGCTGAACAGAAATGTGTACAGATTGTAAAGCCCCCTGAGGCAAATAGACCTTTTTCACAGCAGCCGATTTGACATAAAATAATAGGGTACATGAAGCTTTTATTAATGTTATGTTAATCATTGGTAACAACTATGTTTACCCTACTATTGCATGTGAAAAATGGCTGCTGTGAAAAAGGTCTGTTGTGATATTGATTTGGCCGGCTAGTCTTACTTCAGGGCAAAACAATTAATCAAAAACATTCCACATTCTGGCTGGCATACACAGAATACTAGCTACTGAATATTACAGGAATGCTCATGAACCCAGCAAGGATAAAACAGTTAGGCAGTTGAAGGGGATGTCGGCAGGGGCTTTTGGTCATGTGGACCTCAACCTTAGCTGACCTGAGGTCCCTGGGCAAGTATCACAATTTTAAAATGTGTGTGTAAATGTATCTGAGTGAATATGATAGCATAATGTGAAGTAAATAGGAAATGTTATGAATCTGTGTTCAGCTTTGATTCACATTTTGGTTAATAAACAGATACCAGTGTACACTTGGAACAATAGAGATTTTACAAACTGATCTGTTCAAATAATAACTGACAAAAACTGGCTTTGGTTTGACTTGTAAATTGTGTGGTGGTTTGTTGCTACAGCAATGTGGAAAACAACTCTTTTGGACAGGGTTGCTCTGACAAACATTGCAAGGGGAGCCGCCAATGAAAATCTATATCTGAGTGACCTGATGGTAAACAGTGTTAGAAATCCAGTGGAGGAACAGGAGCAGGGAATTAATTTGGCAAATTGGCTCATGAATGGCACCATGCAAAGAAGATATTAAAACTATTAGTAATATGCCTTTGTAGGGGGTCACTTCTGTGTAATAAAGTATAAAGTTATATTTCAGAGCTGAAGTGTTCCCCATCATGAGCTGTATAAACCATACAGTGATCCCTGCTGACTGACAACAGATGAAGAAAAGGAGGGAGGAGGTTCACAGTTGGTCTGTCTCTCAGTTGGACTGCTACTGCCATCCTATGGATTCTTTTTCAATAACAACCTTAAGATAGAACAAAAATCTCTGTTCAGACTTGGCATGATGTTTTCTAACAAAGCTCATCTTTCTTAGTAGGATTTAGGAAGACTGTCTAATAGTTTGACTCCATCGCAAACTGAATATATACCTTCTATGATAAGCAGCAAAATATGTTATATCCTTGTACTGCACTGCTTAAGCAGCCAGCCACATTCCTTTCTTAAATGACACAAGGGTCATGAAATTGTATGTTAGCCAAGCAGTGCTGGCCTACGGAAGCCTAAAGGGCCATGCATTCATACATTTTATTTCCTCTGTTTTCCCGTGATAACGAGTAAATTTTCTCGAGATCTCGAGATAACGAAACTTTGTTTTCCCGAGATAACGATATAATTAATTCGAGATCTCAAGATAATGACTGTGATATGATAACTGCGGTCAAGCCAGCCGTTACTCCGATCTCCGAGGTCAAATCAGCCGCACTTAAATTTCGAGTGTACAAGTATTCTCAGCATTATGGTAATTGCAGAGAAACATCGTATTTACTTCCGGTTTTCAAAATAAAGGTATTAAGAACAGTAAGCTATAATTCGAACCTACATTTAAAATAAAATATGTTACATTAAAGTGTTTCATGCGCCCATGATGAATAAAAAACATACTTAATATTAAGCATTGCTAATGCACCAATGTGGAGATATTCAACAATAAAGTATGGGACTTGTTGAATATCTCCACGTTGGTGCAGTAGCAATGCTTGATATTAAGTATACTTGTATTCTTATATGTGTAGAAGTCAAATATACCATCCATAGCCAGGAATTATTGAGCAATATGTTTTTACAGTACCTCAAATATGAGAAAAGATGCCACTTGGAGGTACAAATATGGAACTTTTGTTTTGGCATTTCTCCACATTGGTGCAGTAAAAACGCTTGATATTAAGTATGTTTTTTTATAAACTTGTACTGTACCTTTCTAGTCTTCCGACCACTCAAAGCGCTTTTACACTACGTGCCACATTCACCCTTTCACACACACACAGTCACACACATTCACTCCATCTGACATTACTGAGATATAATAATATTATGATAAAAAGAGCCACAGAAGTGGAATATTAGTGTTTTGAGACTTATGATTGTCATTTAAGGATTGTACCAAAGTCTTTATTTCTACTGTATGTAGTGCTACCACCATCTTGGGAATATCTTGGCATTGATATTTCTCGATCAAACATTCATCAACACTGACCCCATCATAAGAGAGGATCCCTGCAGTGAAGCATTAGTAAGTAATGACAAGTTTAGTCCTAATGCTTTGTAATTATTATATTTTTCATTGTAAACATGAAAAATGTCAAACATTTATTAATATAGGTCTTATGCATGGGACAGTTTTGAGATTTTGGGAGATTTTGCTTCGATAACATGTCTTCTTTCAGACTAGTGGAAAGAAGACAAAGAAAATACACATTTAGGTGTTGATTTTATTACACTTTTTCTGTGTGCATCTGTAATTAGCATTAGATAATGCCTCATTTGTTTATTTAAACATACAATTTCAGAAAACTTTGAAGTACAAAACTGTATTGTCTTAATGTAAGTAATCAAGTGGGGACGTTTCGTGGTGGAATTGTACAATACATATCTTTAAAGGCTTTATCCAATGTTCAGTTTTTTTATGTGTGAATGTATGCAAAATAGAGAATTTTGTTAATAATGTATCATTTGTATTTTTAAACATACAATTTCAGAAAACTTGTAAAACAAAAAATTGTAAGTAATCAACCAAGGAAGTTCCACCAATAGTTAAACAAATGTATTCTATTGATATGTTGTGTGTCCCCCTTATATTAATAAATATCAACTTTATGTACAATGAAATATCTGTAATTTCATTAATATCATATTAGAAACATCAGCCTCAGATTAAATGAAAATCTGCTATATACCCACAGACTCTTAAAGTTTGCAAGGGCAGAATTTGCTGCTAAATGTTGATTTGAGAATAAATCATAATCTGCCATGAATGGAAAATCTGGTAATCACTTTTTGCATTGCCAGTGAGTGTGCAATATACTGTTGTATATACCATGGAACTTGGCCTCTAATCTTATTTCAACATTGGATGAGTTAAACAAGAAATGAAGAATGCAGATGCATGAACATTAGTGAGTGTGTTACTGCGGTTCTACCTGCAGGGGACAGTTGTGCAGCACTCTTCAAGCTTTAATGCTGAGCTGAGTGGGGACAGACAGAAGTTACAGCCTCCTGTTGATGAGATGTATAGGCAACTGATTAAAATCACAGAGGTATGAGTGCTACTCTTTGTGTCTATGACTGTAATGTATCAGCATAATGAGACCTAATGATGATACAAATCCATCCATTCTTTGTTAACACATCTTTCTCTTTAAAAAGTATTTTGCAAAACTATACTGTTGAAACCAAATTAACAGTTATTTTTTTATAAAACCTACTGCAGCTGTAACAGTATGTGATGACATAAAACACCATACAATAATGGAAAGGTAAAACATTGTTGTCCCAAGGAAAAGACCAATTGCAGTTAAGTGGGAGGGGTGTTTTGTTTTTCTTTAAAGATTAGTCTGCTAAGCCACCCTTTTTAAGAAAGAAACATGTTTTAAAATAGGTTTAAATGTATTTCCAGTTGTTAAAATATTGTATATGAATATTACTGTCAATGTGAATTGATTAAATAACTTAATTGATAGTCTCTTGAATAGATGGAACCTGACAGTATAAAAGGGACCAGGCCTGGGTGGCTCAAGCCTCAGTGATGTTAATACTGTTGTGTCGCTGAATAAAACAACTTTGTATGTCTTAACTTCACTTTATTTCAAAGTAACAAATTGCATTGCCGCCACAAGGTAGTTGCAGGACACAGGCATCTTCTTCTTCTCGGCTGGAATACCTTGCCTTCTTCTGGTGTTTACTCAAGTTACTACAACTCCTGTAATCATACTACCACCTAGTGTTCAGGCTGAAACATTGAAACATCACATATCCCCCTTAATAAGCAAACATGTACCGAACTATACAGTGTATTTCAACTCTTCAAATAAAGACAATTTTCTTACTGTTTCCTTTATACTAATACAGTATGTGCTTAGAATAAACAACATAAAATTACCCTTATTTTGTTTTTCAGAAAACTCAATTAACTTATATTTTCACCTTAGTGACTTCTCAGTAGTTATTTACTCTTTTTTTTTTTTTTTACACAAAAATGAACACGATTTTAATGAATTCAACTCCTGCAAAAATAAAAATAAGGGTTAACATTTCCTTCCTAAATTTGTACTCATTCAGAACAGAATACACTAAAGATTTTAACTTTTTTTTTTTTCTTTTTTCTGCAAGACATTATTTAATAACAAAGTCTTTAGTCCACTCGGGCACTCTTCTGAGCCTGACTGGTCTGGTATGTGGTGTGTGTTGCACTGGTTGTGGTACAGCCGGTATAGCTGGGGTAGCTTCAAAGTCCAGAGGTAACAGTTCATTGCCACTCTCCTTCCCCTGAAGAGAGGCAGGTGCGAGGTGAGATGCATTCCAGCACCGTCCATCTGACAGTAGGTAGGTGTACTGTCCTCTCCACCAATATGCTTCTCTGAGTCTCTGTTTTGTTCTCACTATTCCCTGGTGTGGAGATCAGCTTTGGCTGGAGGCTGTCTAGCACCAGGAGTCTGTGTGTGCAACAAACCACGCAGTCATCTTGTAGTGAGAGTTTGTATCGAAGTTTGAAGAATGGCTGTAGTTTTGGAGTCAAGGTCTTTTGTTGACTTGGGCCATCTGGAAGTGAGCATTTCACGCAGTTTAGTCTGCACAGGACAGGAAGTGCATGCAGCTTTAAACTCAGTTTCAGGAACAGCTGTAAGTGCAGACGTTAGTGCTACTTCTGTGTCGTCTTCCAAACCGGCCTCTGAGTTTGGCAGAGGGAGTCGAGATAAACAGTCAGCAGTTACATTCTCTCAACCTGGCTTGTACTGGATGTCGTAGTTGAATGATAACAGTTTGGAAGACCACCTGGCTATCCGCATACCTGCTCTACCTTGACCTTTTGAGGCAAGCAGTGTGGTGAGAGGGCTGTGGTCGGTACGTAGTGTGAAATGTCTTCCCCATAAGTAAGTTCCCCACTTTTCTGTGGCCCACACGCACCCCAGGGCCTCCTTTTCGACAGTGGAGTATTTTCTCTCTGTCTGGGTGAGCGTGCATGATGCAAAAGCAACAGTTTTCTCTGTGCCGTCTTGGAGCATCTGAGTGAGAACTGCGCCCAGCCCATAGTCAGACGCGTCCGTCATGACAACAGTGGGCAGCTCAGCAAACTCAGAGGCCGGTTTGGAAGACGACACAGAAGTAGCACTAACGCACCTGAAATGATAATATCATCAAGGTAACATTGGACCCCCTTTACACCTTTGAGTATGGATGACATCATCCGCTGGAAACAGCTTGGCCCAGATGCCAGTCCGAATGGCACCCGCTTGAAGCGAAACAGTCCGTCATGGGTGATGAAGGTAGTTAAGCTGCGGCTGTCCTCATGTAGTGGCACTTGGTAATAAGCGCTCTGGAGATCTAATGTAGAAAACAGCGTCGCTCCTCTCAGCTCAGTGAATATTTCCTCCATGTGAGGTATTGGAAAGCTGTCGACGACAACTGACTTGTTAGGCTCTCTAAGGTCCACACAAAAACGTGGATCTGGTCTGTCTTTTCTTGTGGTGACTACTATGGGTGAAATCCATTCAAAGACTCTACAGGCTCTATAACATCCTGCTCTGCTAGTTTTTTTAACTCCTTAGAAACTGCTTCTCTGACTGAGAAAGGTAACCTGCGCAGCTTCTGCTGTACTAGCTTTACATCACATACTTTAACCTTGTGAATGAAGCCCTTTGCACATCCTAGTTTCTCCACTGTTACACTTTCAACTGCATAGTTAGACTGGATACTAGAAGCTGAAGTGACCTGACCATCTATCACTTGCATTCGTAGTGCACGGAATAAGTCCCTGCCTAACACTGCAGACCCTTGGTATACAATGTATATATCTTTGTTAGTACTGTAGCCACCAAATGCTGTTAGCCCATAAGAATCCTTTCACAGCTATGGGGTTTCCGCCATAGTCCCTAAGCTTGCGTTTTGGCCTTGTAAGAGAAACATCAGTGAAAAGCTCAGTAACAATTGACTCTGGTAGAATGGACACTCTTGAGCCTGTGTCTAGCATTAGCTCAATATCCTGGCTCTCTGACCCTGTTACACAGTATGCTGCTGGAGTCACATGCATCCACATTTAAAATAGTCACTTCTGGGACAGTTTCAACCTTACTCATGTGTTTGCTTCCCCAACAGACTTTCACATGAAGGGACAGCGTCATCTATTGCTCCCTTGCACATAGCTTTAGCCTCCGTCCCTGCAGTTTCAATCTGTCGTGCTATCGTCAAAGCTTTGGTGAGTGTGAGCGGTACCTCCACTAGTAAACGCTCTCTGAAGCGTGTTGAATTATCTTCTCCACGATCTGGTCCCGTATCATCTCCTCTTCCATAGTCCCAAACTGACATGTTGTAACCAGTTATTTTAAAGCAGCAGCAAACTGTCTGTAGTCTCACCCGGGCGTTGGCTTCGTTGTCTGAAGCAATAACGTTCCGCTACAACATTCACTTGTGGTATGAAGAAATCCTGTATGGCTTTTTTACTCAAGTTACTACAACTCCTGTACTCATACTGCCACCTAGTGTTCAGGCTGAAACATTGAAACATCACAAATACATACATGAATTGATATGCGACCAAACTAACAGGATTCCAGTTACGCAAAATTATACTTCAGCACCATGCATTTGCTCAGCCAGTGTGAACTAATAAAAAAAGTCAAAGTGACTTACTCATTCCTTAATAGTGAGCAGCAGGAATTCATGATACATCCTGCGTTTAGTTCAGGCATTAAATCATGATGATTCATGCGCTAGTATTAGTAGTAAACACCTTAGTTATTATTAAGTGTTACCCTGTTTAGTTATGATAACTACACTCGTTTTGGCTCAACAAGAAAAATACAGTTTGATGAATCTTCTTGAGTTCAATTAAATTTTATTTGTATAGCGCCTATTCATAACAGAAGTTATCTCAGGACACTTTTCAAATAGAGCAGGTCTAGACCGAACTCCTTATAACATTATTTACAGGGACCCAACAGTACCACCATGAGCAAGACCTTGGTGACAGTGGCAAGGAAAAACTTCCTTTTAGAGGCAGAAACCTAGGACAGACCCCGGCTCTAGGTGGGTGACCAGTTGGGGTGAGAGAGAGAGAGAGAGAGAGAGAGAGAGGTAAAGACAGAGACAGAGTTATTGCACATTCTCATGAAATTATGTTCAACAAATGTACTACATTACTTAGGAAAAATTTCCTCTACCTGTGGTGTTTTTAATTACTACGTAATAATTGGTACCATAAACATAGGTTTTCAAGTTGATTACTCTAAAAATTTCATAAAAGCATAAAAACTTAAAATGTGTATCTGAATCGGTAAATTTTTATCTTGCAACCATGCATTTATTTAAGTAGTGACAATAGGTCCACTGAATTGCCTTTTTAGAGTGTAATGCTCATGACTATATGAGTATTGGTGGTAAGTGGTTGCCTGTCTTACAATAGCATTTTAAATTTTAGTTAGCTATATTTTTTTAATGAATATATTGGTGGATGAGTTGATCATTAGTTCCTTTTTATTAATTTAATTAAGTAATGATAATAATAATAATAATAATAATAATAATAATAATAATAATAATAATAATAAAACCGATAATGTTTATACAAATATAAAATAAATCAAGACATTGCAAATAAATTTTTTTCTAGACTTTCGGTTGGACTTACATTATTTATATTCTTAATTAAAACGTAGCCTATAAAACACGAGACCTGGTTCCATCCCGATTGATTGAAAACATGCGCCTTTAAATAACAGGCAGCGGAAATCCTCACAAAATGCGGGTCCTGTCGACCAAGAACAATGCCATTTAAAATATATATTAATATATTATTGGCGTGACATCGACATGGAGAGCGCGAGCGTACTAGTGGGTTTAATATGAGCAGTCTCGGGGAGAGCGGGAGGGAGGAGGAGAGAGGAGAGGAGCTAAGGAGCACTATAATCTATCCTACTTCACAGTCAGCCGCTTCTTCATTCATCTTTTCTTTGTCCGCCAAAAGCATCGCGCCATGACGCCCCACCGGTACACCCCGAGCAGCTCAGCCGCCGTCCAGAGCGAGACAGCCGCTGGGGCCGCACCGCCAGGTCCCTACTATGGTGAGTCTGAGTGATGTGGACGGCTGACGGCTTCACTGGGGACTGTTTGAAACAGTATGGTTAGGATTAAGGTATAGGCATATTATATATTGTAGCATTGGGATCGTTGTTTAATGAAGCTGATAGGTGCATATTATTAAATGCATTAGCAAATTATTAATTGATTACAGTCAAAACGAAACCACAAAACTTGTGTAGTAGCCTTATGTAGGAGAGACAGCGGCTGGTTGGCACATTCTTAACTCTTGTAGCTAGATTTCTCCACATCAGTTGAACTAATGAATAACTATCATCAGAAAGCCTTAACAAGTCTTGGCTGGAATTTGGTATATCTGTTGTTATCCTTGCAGCACCTTTCATCTTCCAAAGACACCCTGACACACTGTGGCTGACTGCATGTTGTGGAAGGCTCTAAATTAACACTTAAAGCTAGCAAAAACGTGCTAAGAGCAGATATGTTCCCTCTTTCAAAAGTAATTTAGTGTTTGTGGTTACACTGACCATTTTTTATTTAGAAAATTTTGATTTGAACCTCAAAAATGTTATCTCCTCATTAAGATGGCCATGTGTGGTTGCTGAAAACAAGACTTGATGTGTATCCCTCTCACGGCTTGATGAAGCACAGTCCAAGTCACCCATATAGGCTGTTGTAAATTTGTATTTAACTCAAAATTTAAAGTTGTATTTTGCAAACCACCTGCACCCCCTGTGCTAATCTAGTTTTATACCAGTTTTCACTTTTCGTAAAGGTTTATTTAGTCTTGATTGACATGTTGTAGTCAACAGAGACCATTTTAGGATGCTGTGTGGTGTGATCCTCATTCTGATTCTGATTCTGATGACAATGTTGCAGTCTTTGGTGTGAACATGCAGGATACTGTAGTAGCCAATGAGTAGTTTAAAAATAGCCAATACTAGCAATGCCAACAAAGTTGTTGGTGCTTTGTACTGAGCGACTGTGGCTATTTTGGTCAGCAGCAGGATAAAGATTAGCTGAGTATTACTGTTCACTAATGCCATCAGCTGACTTAAGGTCTGTTTATTTCAACAAGGATGTCTTCTTACTTGGTCTGTCCTGTTGTGCATTATCTGCCTACTGTACACCTGTTTTTGAAATTAATTTAAAAGATGTGGAATTGAGAATAGAATAGATTTTACCATATCAACCATTTTCATTTATTTGTGCATTATTAGTGAAACCATCCTTCTTTCTCTCCCTTTGCTATTTGTTGATAAAAGCCTGAGGGAATGCAGCCAGGAGAGTGTCTTTAAATTCTGGCACTAAAAAATAAATTTTGTGATAGAAAACAAAAACCTGAACTAAAAAAGGAAACATTGTCCTTGAAACGCTTGTATTGAAAAAAAAAAGATTTCTCACTCTAAACTCCGCAAAAAGGGGGCGATGAATTTGATTATGCCCAAGCAGGAGGCAGCAGCGAAAGCCTGCCAAAAAGCAAAAGACGAAGAGTTTGACCAATCATAGGCAGGATTCCTTCCCCCTACCAATGAAATATTAAGCGGGGAAGATTGATGATAATTGACGTGTAATGTCTTTTCAAGAGACTACAAAATGGACAACATGACAAGAGCGGGTCGTCCACTAATCTGAAGGTTGTTGGTTCGATGCCCGGCTTCTCCCGCCACATGTCAAATTATCCTTGAGCAAGATACTGAACCCCAAATTGCTCCTGCTCCTGCTGTGTATGAATGCATTAGTTTCTGTTTGATGGACTTTGCCATCACTGAGTGAATGTGTGTGAAAGGGTGAATGTAGCATGTAGTGTAAAAGCCCTTTGAGTGGTCGCTATACATGTACAGGTCCATTTACCATTTATCCTCCTCACTCTGGCTGGCTGGTTCCTCAACTGAAGACTCTTTTAACTCCTTAGCAAACATAGACAACAGCCTGCAGTGATGAAAATGGTAAATGGACTGTACTTGTACAGTGCTTTTCTAGTCTTCCGACCATTCAAAGAATTACACACATTCACTCAGTGATGAACAGAAACTAACTCATTCATACACATACACATAGTATCCTGCTCAGGGATACTTCGACATGCAGCGGGAGGAGCTAGGGATCAACCAACAACCTTCCGATTAGTGGACGACCCGCTCTGCCTCCGAGCCACAGCCGCCCTAATGTTTAAGTTGTTAATTTTTAACTTTAATAACAGTAGGGTAATGTAACGTTGCCAATTTGCAAGCTGGGTTGCTTGTTTATCCATCTTATAAGTTGGCAAAGTATTGTTACGTTATATTGTCGCAGATGGTTACACGTGACTTTTCATAGTATTAATAAATGCGGTCCCTCTTTATATATGAGTTATATTTTTCATAAATTCATAAATACTGATTTATTGACATGGAAGCAGAATATTAAAGTTGTCAACATGAAGCTGATCTTAACCATTTAGCTCTACTTTTGGGTAGTATAATCTATAACAATGCTAGTTAGGGACCGAGCCAGCGACCGCTGGAGGTCCCTATTGTATTTGCTATGTGTAGCGTTAGTCATTTCTGCAGCAGTCTATCGTTATCACAGTCACCAAAGTGGTTAGCTAGCACCTGGTAGTGGCTAATATTCACGGGAGAAAAAGGACAGACCGCCATCGTCTCTTTGGTCTGAGAACTCACACTGACCGTTTTATTCTGCGCATTCTCTCAGTAGCATCCTTGTGCGCGCAGGCACATGACATCAGTGCTTAGGCTATTTAACATGGCTTTGCTACTCATATTATAAAATATGCTTAACACTCCCACTCAAAGACATGTTTATAGCTCTCTATAGTGGTAAACAAAAACCAAAAATAAATAATTCCAAAATAAAACATTTGACATACTGGCAGTGTTAAAAAGAAAACTTCAAAACCATTTTCTGCCAGTTCACATTACTCTCCAAACAAATACTCCTTGAACCTGTCAAACTTAGCCTTTGTCACTGGCTTGGTAAGGACATCAGCTACCATGTCTGCAGTAGGGCAGTATTCTATAGATATTTTCCCTTCTGCGTGTGCAGAACGTACAAAGTGATACTTTATATCCACGTGTTTGCTTCTCTGTCTGCATACTGGGTTCTTTGATAAAGCTATCGCCCCCTGGTTGTCCTCATATATCTTGACTGGTACATTCTGGTTGCTACTATCTATTCCTTTAAAGGGGAACTTCGGCAGATTTTTACCCTAGTCTTGATCACTAGAGGTCACCGAGTACTGTCGATAGGAAAAAGAACGACCAAAACCGGTGCTAGCAAACTGGAGATCCTGCAGCTAATGGCCAGAGCTCCCAGTTAGTTATAATACACTTCTTGGGGACATATCCTAAAGAGTGCCTTTTGCTCCTCTTAACAGACACAAAATGCAATTAAAATGTCTGTGCAACATGATCAGGGCCCTTACGTGACAACAACATGCCTTTTCAACTCATACGTTGTGCAGAAACCGTACAAAACAGTACTGTCGCCTACCTGTTTTTCCACCGCTCGCTTCACCGAAAGCCCAGAATAATGGATCACGGAGATAATGCCTTCGCGACGAAAAAAAGTTTATCCTATAATAACTTTAGTCCCTCTGAAATTGATAATTTTGTTGATAGTGCTGCAGGCTCACTACAAAGAACATTAGACTCTATTGCTCCTATAAAAAGGAAATTATTAAAACATAGGAGACTAGCACCGTGGTACAACCACCAAACCCGGCAGTTAAAGCAAATAGCTAGGAAATCTGAAAGGAAATGGCGCTCTTCCAAATTATCAGAATATCGCTCAATTTGGCAAAATAATCTTAAAACTTATAGAAAGGCCCTCTGTAATGCCAGAGGAGCTTATTACTCAGCACTAATAGAAGAAAACAAGAATAACCCTAGGTTCCTCTTCAGCACTGTAGCCAGGCTGACAGAGAGCCACAGCTCTATTGAGCCACATATCCCCATAAACTTAAGTAGCAATGACTTCATGAGCTTCTTCTATAATAAAATTATTACTATTAGAGAAAAAATTAATCACCAACTGCCAGCAACAGTTATCAGCGGCTCTCCAAGTTCAGGGACTTTTGCTAATGTAAACTTAGATATATATTTAGACTGTTTTTCTGCTATCGATCTTCATCAGTTAACTTCAATAATTTCTTCATCGAAGCCATCAACCTGTCTGTTAGACCCTATCCCAACTAGACTGCTTAAAGAAGTTGTTCCCTTAATTGGCACTTCTTTACTGGATATGATTAATCTCTCTTTATTATCAGGATATGTACCACAGTCCTTTAAGGTAGCTGTAATTAAACCCCTTCTTAAAAAGCCCACTCTTGACCCAGGGGTTTTAGCTAACTATAGACCAATCTCTAACCTCTCGTTCCTCTCTAAGATTCTGGAGAAGGTAGTCGCCAAAGAGTTGTGTGACTTTCTACATAACAATAGTTTATTTGAGGATTTTCAGTCAGGATTTATAGTTCATCATAGCACAGAGACAGCTCTGGTTAAAGTTAATAATGACCTTCTGATTGCTTCTGACAATGGACTTGTCTCTGTACTTGTATTATTAGATCTTAGTGCTGCATTTGACACCATTGACCATAATATTCTTTAACAGAGACTTGAGCATCAAATTGGTATTAAAGGAACCGCACTAAGCTGGTTTAAGTCATATTCAGATCGTTCGTACAGTTTGTACATGTTTACGATGAATCTTCAATAAATACTACAGTTAGTCATGGAGTTCCACAAGGTTCTGTACTTGGACCAATATTATTTACTTTATATATGCTCCCTTTAGGCAACATTATTAGGAATCACTCCATTAACTTTCACTGTTATGCAGATGATACGCAGTTATATCTATCGATCAAGCCCGATGAAATTAATCAATTATCTAAATTACAAACATGTCTTAAGGACATAAAATCCTGGATGAGCTGCAATTTTCTGATGTTAAACTCAGAAAAAAACGAAATTCTTGTTCTTGGCCCCAAAAACCTTAGAGACTCAATGTCTAAAGATATAGTTAC